CAACGGCCTGATGTTTGTCTTCCGTCCCACGTGTTTTGACATCTGTGCTGGTCTCAAGGTCCAGTCTGTTAAAATGAAAAGTCTGTGTCAGGTAGAACCATCAGTTCGCTGTAGTTGTCTCCTGTGTCGCACCACGGGGTTGAATTACTGACAGTGTAGAACAGACACCACGGACAGGGACGATCCCACGACCTCCCATGAGTCCACGAGCCACTGTGCTAAAATAAAAAAAAAAGTGTCTCTTGTAATGATTGGAGCAACAGAAGCAGAACAGTTTATTTTGTAGATTGCAACAAAATAAAAATCAGAATATAGAAATAGATTTTTTTTTAAAATGACTTTTTTCAGTCTGTTGTAATGGTGGGAGTTTGGAACTGTATTTTTGTGTGTGTTTTTGAAGCGACCGAGTACTCACAGGCTGCGAACACGATGACGGACGTGTCGGAGTGTGAGCAGGCGAAGGAGCTCGGAGCCATCAACAGCACGCTGAGGCAAGTCTGCAGCTTTTCATCGGCTCATTTATTGTCATTTTTAAAAAAAATATATTACATTTCTTTTTTTTAATTTGGAGGGATTTTTTTACCACATTTTACACAAGAAGACTTTTTAATTTTGCTTGACTGAATTTTTTTTTTGTACATCATGCAAACAGTGGGCAACAGCAGCATCTGCTGCTGCTGCCACTGTTGTTGTTTTCCATCAGCTGTTCTCTGTGTTGGAAATCTGATAAGGACCTGTTTAAAATACACACAAAAAAACAGTTATTAATAAAACAGGTGCTGTTAAAACAGACGCCTCTGTTTTCTCAACTGATCAGTGAACATTTCTTGTTCTACTCATTGACGTTCTATGTTCTTGCTGCTTATTTGGAATCTGAGAGAGAACAAAAAACAGACAGTTTGTCCAAAATAAATTTCCATTTTACTTGTGTTTTCCACAGGTTATTAAAAAGGCTCAAAAGTCAAAAACCCTTCATGGTTAATATCGTCATTCAGTAGTGTTAAAAAATCACCTGTAAATGTTAGATTGATGGATAATTTAATGTGTAATCTGACAATATCTGTCCAGTTTACTGTCTGAAATTAAGTCTCATTCACTAATGTATTGATTTGATATCATTTCCCTCGTTAGTAACCAGAGTAAAGAGGCCTTTGCTGATTGGGCAAGACACGACGATGCTCAGGATCATTTCTGTGAACTCGACGGTGAGGATTTTAACTTTCACTGATCATTTCTAGTTCATGATTCCAGTCATGTTTGCTGACTTCACGTAAATGAGTCGAAATACAAACAGAGGAAGTTAAGACTGTGTTTGTGAACGTTCCTGTTTATATCATCACAGCCCTGTGTGTGTTGTTGTGTGTCAGATGAAACCTCTCCAGATGCTGAGTACGTGGATCTGCTGCCGAACCCAGAACGCTTCACTGGATACAAGGGTCCTTCAGCCTGGAGGGTCTGGAACAGCATCTATGAGGAGAACTGTTTCAAGTGAGACCTGAACACACACTCAGACACCGTTAGCAGTACACACACCTCCAAAACCTCATATATATTCAAACAATGAGAAATATTTTAAAAATATGTAAATAAAAAAAACTAAATATCCTTTTGTGTGATGACAGGCCCAGATCTGTGTACAGACCTCTGAACCCTCTTGCTCCGAGCCGAGGTGAGTCCACAGCTTAGGTCGTTAAAAGTGTCTAAAATATCACTTAATCTTGCAATGGTGACCCCTGGTGGCTCATCAGTAGAAGTGCTCTGAGCCTCTAGGGTGTGGGGAAACTTTGAGTTTGTGAACTTGTATATATGGTGTGTGTTATTTACTTATGTTGTTTTGATACTGATCCACTCTCTGTCTCTTTGTCTCCAGGAGATGATGATGGTAAGTGTAAAATGTCTTTCATTATTTTGTTTGTCTTAGAAATAAAAAACAAACCGTACTGAAGACTTTGTCTTTGCCTCTCGTTGCAGGAGAAGGTTTTTACCAGTGGTTGGAAGGTGAGTGTCACCTGAATCTCACATGTTTTAATAACAGTTGAACCTTCCAGACATTTATCAGGCAGTTCAATCTCTCTGTCTTCAGTCTGTTGTATTTCTTGTTCCCTGGTTTTTACTCCATTCCTTTTTTTTCAGGTTTGTGTTTAGAGAAGAGAGTTTTTTACCGCCTCATCTCCGGCCTCCACAGCAGCATCAACATCCACCTGTGTGCCCAGTACCTGCACGACGGTACGACGTAGTCCTCCACACTTCAGACACACTCTCACACGGAGGAGACGACGCACTGACGCGGTTCTAAAGTTCTCCTGTTGGCCTTTTGTCTGTGTGTCTCCTCAGAGGGCTGGGGACGCTCAGTGTGGGGACCAAACGTGCAGGAGTTCAGGCATCGATTTGACGACGCCGAAACCAAGGGCGAAGGCACGCGGAGACTTAAGAACCTCTACTTCCTGTACCTGATTGAGCTGCGTGCGCTCTACAAGGTATCGCCGTACTTTGAGCGTGCATTTGTCAACCTGTACACCGGAAACTCTCAGGAGGACGGAGCCACCAAAGAGCTGCTACTGCAGATCTTCAATGAGATCAAGTGAGAAATCCTCACTGCTTTTTCAGACCAACACCTTTACAGCTGGTCCAGAATGTATAAAGGATGTCCCACTGCTTTTTCAGACCAACACCTTTACGGCCGGTCCTTGGTACAAAAAGGTCGGGCACCGCTGGTTTAAAGAATGTGTAAAGGATGTTGTTTCTCTTTTCTAGAACTTTCCCCATGCACTTTGATGAGAAGTCCATGTTCGCTGGAGGCAAAATAGAGGCTAAAATTCTGAAGGTGAGAGTTGAACTCCTGTTGTTGAGCATTCGTTTGGTGCATTATTGTATTGATTTGACATTTTGTCTCTGGTTGATCCTCAGGAGGAATTCCGTCTGCACTTTAAAAACATCTCCAGGATTATGGACTGTGTTGGCTGTAGTAAATGTCGACTGTGGGGGAAACTTCAGGTGAGTTCAGTGGCTTAAATAGACGGGGTACTGAATGGGACTCATCGGAATAAAATGCATAAATAATTGTATCAAAATATTACTAACTCCCATCCAAAACATCTCTGTAGCTGAAATGCTGCTCAAACTGTCATTTGTGTCTGTTTGGATGAATGTTTGTTTCATTTCTCTGTCCTCAGACCCAGGGTCTTGGCACAGCTCTGAAGATTCTCTTTTCTGAAAAAGAGATCAAGAACCTTCCAGAACACAGTCCGTCCAAAGGCTTCCAGCTCACTCGACAGGAAATCGTGGCGCTTATAAACGGCTTCAGCAGGTACGTCCACAGTCTCATGTCTGACCTGAAGTTGATACTGAACTGTCATGACGGGGGCTGCGACCCTCATCTTTGTAGATGTAGATATCATCTCACCAGGTCTTTGTCTTCGTCCCCAGGTTGTCCACCAGCATAAACTATCTCCACAACTTCCGCATGCTGCTACAGGAGAACAGGTAACAGCAGTTGGTTCTTCTTTAGGCCAGTAGGTTGCGCCAGCAAACCCATGGATATCTGCAATAAATAGACCAAGTGTGAGCAGGGACTAGGTTTTGGTGTTTTGTTTTGGTGTTTTGTTTTTGTTTTGTTTTTTTCCAACCAATGGAAGCAGAATTCCCCACGTTTTCATTCACCTTGAAAGTTCATCATGAACATCAGCTCGTCCTGTTCTCTTCATGATTGGACATTTGAGAGGAAATGTTGACAAACACAAATCTTCAACTCACTCTTTAGTCCAAACTCCTCAGGAGGAAGTGATGTCAACGCTCTCTCTTCCTCTGCTGACCCCCCCCCCCCCCCCCCCCGTTACCGCTTCCTGTCAGATTCTTTTGATGCCCTGACATTCCTGAGTGTTTTGTACCAAGGTGGAAAAGACCTTTTGATCTTTCCAGATGATTCTCAGATGAAAGTCTGTTTGAAGTTGTCGCTGCCTTATTTTTTTTTGTCTGTTCAAAAAGTCGTGTTTAAGAATCGGAACCAGTCTGCCTGTATTCTCTGCCTAACTCATGTCAGTGTGTGTGTGTGTGTGTGTGTTTGTGTGGAGGTGGCACTGAACGGAGTGAAAATCACATTGTTACAGCCACAAATGGGCGTGCCGTCCAGGTAGTTTAGAAGAAACATTATGATTCAGGTTTTATGGGTCGTTTTCATTGGAATTCACTGCAGACAAAGAAAAGAGAAAAGAGTGTTGACGCTGCCTAATCTGACTGTAGTATTTATTGTGGGGTGAATTCCTATAAATACACTGGTCAGAACTACATATGACCAAGTGTTTGAAAAAATGTTGTTCTACAACAGTCAGAAAGTGTTAAAAAAAAAAGAGCAAATTCTGACTTAAAATAATAATGACTGTAACAAAAAGACTCAACAGTGCCCCCTAACGTTAGTTTGGCCAGGTCAAATGTGGCATAAAAGCCGAAATGTCAATTGAATTCCCACACCTTTATCTTCACAGTTTATGGCATTGATTCCATTGACGTCATATGTTGTTGGTTCAATACAACGAAAATATGTTGAAGGATTTGTTTGGTCAAATTTGCGTAAATTCTCGAACCGGAATTACAATTTTTTTTTGTGGTCTTTGCGTCGTCTCGAACCGGAATTACAATTTTTTTTTTGTGTTTTACTTATCTCTGCGTCAACTGTCTGTGTAACATCATCACGTTCAGTGTGTGATGTCACCGACTCCAGCTTTAACTGTTTATTCAACAGATTTTTCGCACAACAAGCAGATGAATAAAAGCAACGTAGTTTGCTTCATAATTTATTTATTGTTTAGTTTTGAATGTCACAGATGATCGGAGTTGACGTGTACCTGTAATGCTGCTGAGATGTGAAAACTAAAGCCATCAGTTAAAGGTTTTTGAGGTGTTGAAGTCACATGACCCTGCTGTTGAAGAAACGTCAGACTCAGTTTATTTGTAATTTATTTGTATTTTTCATAGTTGGGATTTTTCTTTTGTTTCACAAATTCGTTCAAATGAAGCTGCGTTTCTACACCAACATTGAAGTTCAACAATCTTCACTGACTCAGACTCAGCTGCCCGTTCATCACTCCCTTTAAGTAAGAAGGCACAGATTTTCTTATTTTAGTGCCTTCATGAGTGATGCCAACACAAATAACTGTTAACGAGCGAAAGAAAAATTTTAGCCGCCGGTAGAGTCAGGATTTCGTTTACTTTTTAATTAATATTCTTATTTGCTTTATTTTATGAAGTCCTGAGGTCATGTCTGTGAAGTCAGCTTTCTGTTCATGTTCAAAAGGCAATTAATGCAGTTTTTATTTTATTTTAATGCTTTCACAACAGGAGTAGAATATAGAGCCTAGGTGGCGCTGCAGCCACGGTGTTGAAATTGAATCCGTTTCTTGCCGGTTTTTGCCTTGTGCGCCTCCCTCTGGACAACTTCTTAAATGTCCTTAATGTCAGACGTGGCTTTCATATTTTCTGTTGTTTTTCTACTGGCTTCCTATTGACTATTGTTTTGGTTTTTTTTTGGTGTTTTACTTCTTTAGGTTTTTTTATGTTAAAGAAAAGAAAAACACAATATTTTAGTTTAGGTTTTTTGTGTCAGTACTTTTCTAAAGAAAAAAAAAGTTTCTAAATCCAGTGGGAAAAAAATCCCAATCCCACAAATGTGTTCCACAGACGACAAACCTCTAACAAGCGATCGACTTGTCACTAGCACCACCTGCAGGGCAGATAAAGCACAACTGGCCTGCTGCAGCCACCGGCCAATCAGTAAAGGTTGATAAGATCTGCAGCTGTGATTAAAGATTCAGTTTAGTGTTGGCTGTTTTTCAGTCAAAATGGACCAAAACCCTTTCTGTTGCCGCTGTTTTATTGGAGATAAATTATTTTATTTTATTTGTTTGGTTTATGACACCAGGGAGTGCTGACGGCCCATGTGTTAGCAGACACACTAACATAGCTATCTATTACATAAACTCATTATCTGGAAGGATTGGTCACAATGTTACAGTTTATCTTTTGTGTAAGTCCCAAAAGTTTTTGTTTCTTATTTTGCTCATTTCTGATTTTTGAACTGGTTATTTTGCTCATTTCTGATTTTTGAACTTGTCTGTATCCATGAACCTAAATCTGTTGAGTTCATCTCTTTGTTGATTTCTGTAGAATTTTAAATGTATATATGTGTGTATATATATATGTGTGTGTGTATACACACATATATACATGATCACAATGCGTGGCTGCGTGAAACTTATCATATATTTATTTGAAGAGAAATAAATATTTCTGAAGAAACTTGAACCGATCGTTCTCTTCATTCACAGACGTCACACACTTGATTGTGATGAAATGTAATCAATGATTACCTGTTGATTTTCTTAAGAAAATAATGAACTCTTGTTCATTGTTTTTCCACATCTTTCACATTGTCATTTTATTATTTTGTGTTTGAAAATGTCATAAATACACGAGTCACTAAAATCACAACAGAAAAACAGAACCTGTAGAAAGAATTTACAAACTTTTTAGAAATATACTTTCCCGTAGTTCAAATTGTTTTTTGTTTTTTTTATTATTGCCAAAACACAAGTCAGATTCTTCCCATGACTTTTTGGTGTTTCAGCCAATCATTTGGTTTAATTCATTTTTCTTTAATTTGTTTTTTAAAACACTTTTTTATTTATCTTTACTTATTCTTAAATCTATAATTATTATCAAATATTATTCTGGTTGTTTTTTCCATTACTGTCACAGTCACTGCTTTCTCCTGCTGTAAACCAGGCTTTTTCTACAGGAAACAGTTGACCAATGAAGCTACAGTATGTTCTTCACAGACCCTGGGTTGGTAAAATGTTACAAATTAAAATTTTGTGACAAGAAAGACTTTCCAAGAACAGGATAAAGCAGTGAAGATTTTCAAACTGTTGGATGTTTTTTAATCACATGAGTTGCGCCTGCTGTTCCCACTGGCAGCCTGAAGGGGGGGGGGTCTCAGTGTCTCAGGCCTCATACAAACACTACAGTAGAAAGTAACTCCAATGTTGAATAAAAAAAACAATTAGTTAAAAACATGTTAAATAAGTGCATTTTTTTCACATACCAGTCAGCTCAAAAAAGTTCAATAATCTAAATCAGTGATTCTCAAAACTATGGTCGCGTTGGCATCCTCTAGTGGTCAGTTCGGGAACATGAATTCAATTGCATGATAAAAGTCCGCTGCTGTGTTTCATCGCCAACACAGATGGTACTTGGACAGATATATTCTTTGAGGTTGTACGCTGTATAAAAAGGTTTGAGAACCACTGTTCTAAATGAAGTGATGACTAAATGTGGGGCTAAAGAACTTGACAAATGCCAATAGAAACCTGCTCTACAACATTCATCACATCACTTACATACTGAGTGTGTACAGAAACAGAAACAACAGAAAAAGCACAGTTTCTACACAGCTTCTCCCCCGGAAATGAGCTTTGATTCAATACATTTACAGCTGCTAATGTTTTATTTAGAACAGCAAAGTGCTAGCTGCTAATATTGGCTAATGGTGGCAAGTAGTGCATTCCAGTTAATACTTCTCAGTTAGCCACAGGAAGTGTCCGTTAAATGGCCTTCTGCAGCAGTAATACAGTATGATACGATTATTATAAGATGGTCTTTGTCAACAAAAATGATATGAAAGTGTTTGTTCGTTTGGCCAAACACGTATTAAATAAAATTCTAGGATGATCTTATTTATCTCAAATTGCTATTAAATTAAGCTAGTTTAGCTTGCCTTCAGGTATACCTAGATTAGAATTAAATTACTTATGAAATATTCTTTAACATTTATCATACTGTTACCTGGCTGGATAGCATCCTTAGCTAACATTTCTAAGGCTTTGTTTTCTATAAATCACGTACCAATTTAATGGTATCTCTAAAATTATTGTTATAACTGGAATGCACTACAGATATCGGGAAGAACTGAGGGGCGGGGCTTACTTAAAGAGCTGTCAATCACATCAAGCCAAACTCCTTGACCAAAGGGCCATTTGAGATATTTATTATTATTAAAATATAATATGTGTAGCCTGATAGCTTGTCACGTCTATGCCTTCGACCGCTTGCTGATTGGACGATACCAGTTGCCAGTCAGAGCAGAGCCCCACCCACACAGCTGTTCTATAATCTGTGTAGGAACTGTGCTTAGACTTCGATAATCTTTCCGTTTTTTCTTTTTACAGTACGTACATTTGTTGCTGTGTCTGTTTTTTCTAACAAACATAAAGTGATTGTTGTCAAAGTGCAAAGTGAAGCCTCCAGTTTTGGAGGCAGAGTTATGGGTATGGGTGAAGCTCTCCGGTGGCGGCCATCAGGCGCTGGTCGTCATTGCCCATGTGCACGGTAAAGCTGCTGTGGCGGCTGCCCCAGTCGTAGCAGTCGGAGGAGAGACTGTGGGAGGAAACAAGAAGAGCTTGATTTAAAAACCTCTGTTAGAGTATTGGCTGGAGTGAGTAGTCAAATTTAAGACAAAATTATTTATATAAAATGTCTTTTTTACAAATCCTCCTTTGAACTGATAATTACTGAGTTGAAATCAAAGTTGGAAAATGCGTTAATGTCTGTACCTTGCTGTTGCATTCTGGGGAGGAATGCTCCACGCTAGGTCATCATCGCTGTCATATCGACGAGGGTTGTCAAAGAAGTAACCACGGGACGAAAGTATGTGGTTTGGTATCCCAGGGTTGGTCTGTTGGCCAATAAATAAATAAATAAAATCAGAACGATGATTTAGTCTTTGGTGAAAGATAAAGTGCAGAAATGGATTTAGTCTTTGGTGAAAGATAAAGTGATTTCCTAAAATGCAGAAATAAGATATTTTCCACTTTTAGCAGCTCTGTAGCTTTTCCTGAAATAAACTTTCTAGAAGCACTAGGTCAAAGGTCATGTCCAGTCTGTCAGGGAGACTGACCCGGTCCTGAGGCGGCCGTCGCACCCTGAAGAAGAAGACGACCAGCGAGGTGGGCAGCAGCTCCCACACGAACAGAATCACCCCGAACACCACGTAACCCGCGTCTCCCATTGACGAGCGCAGGTCGGCCTGGACGACAGGGCAAAGGTCAGAGGTGGACGGCTTTACCGGGAACATGTGACCAGGTGACGGCAAACTCACCTGGTCTGAGACATTGTACCAGTCATAGTCAAAGGAGTTAATGGTCTGGATGTCAGTCAGAGCCAGAACCACGAGGTTGTAACAGGCTCGGGAGGCGTACAACAGCACCACCATGAGGCCGATGAGGGTCACCTGACACACCGATGTTCCCTGGACAAACACACATTATTTTTTATAATTAAATTTAAGACGATGTTGATGCAGTTCATCCAGTCGTTCATCTTTTACAGCCGTGTTTATAATCATCACTTACACTCACTTGCTCAGAGACTGTCAATGTGGACACTGACCTCCTGACCCGGGTCACTCTGACCCAGGTCACAGCTCTGACCTGTGAGGTGTGAGTGTGGCAGTGAGTTACCTTCGACTCCAGGTAAATGTTGGCCAGCGACATCTTTGCCACTTTGTAGAGGCAGACTGAGAGGGAGATGGCGCAGAGGACGAAGAGACTGTCGTTGATGGTAACCCTCACCAGGACGATGGTCTTGACGTCAGCCTTGGACATCTTGACCAGCAGGGCGCAGACCAGGTTTACAACCAGGAAGAGAAGGCTGATGCCGAGAAAGACCAGATACAGAGGCAGTCTGGAGAAGGAGTGAGAGTTCAGCTCAGTAAATCATTCTCTGATTCGAACTTTCCCTCAAGCTGCACATACGAACGAAGTTTCCAGAACTTACCTGTACTTGAGCAGAGCAGGCGTGTACTTTGACTTAGCCTTGAAGTAAACCTGCAGGAAGTAGAGCATTAGTTCAGTCTGGTCGCTGACATCTGAGTTTGTAACAAAACAAATCCTTTACTAAACATTATGTTAGTTCTTGGTCTTTGGTTTTAAGTCATGTTTCAAATATGTCAAATTTAAATGACTGTTAACACATTTTAATACATCTTTCAGGCATCTTAATAGACTTGGACAGTTTTATTAATACATCTTTTGTTTTTTTTCTTTAAAAGTGAACAATTTTAAAAACATGTCAAATATTTAACTTTTGAAAAACAGATATTTTTTTCAAATTCTGATTGTCTTCTTCGACATACCCTCAGCATACACAGACGATCATGGACAAATCCCAAAAATGTTAAATCTGCTACATCGTGATAATTTGCGCCCCCCTCTGGTCGCCATCGTGTAATTGCTCACAGGCCCGACCCCCCTCTTCTCACCTGTGCGCAGTAAAGGTTCATTAGGATGAGTGTGAAAAACTGTAGGCAAACGGGGAAACAGTAGAGCAGCCAGAAAGCGAACGGCGGCAGTGCGTTGGCGGTGACACAGTCCCTGAAGTAGAAGGAGAAGAGCAGGGTTCGAAGCCCGGCCCAGAGCAGACACAGGAACAGGAAGCTGGTCTGGTAGCTGAAGCGTTTGTGGCGGTACCGCAGCACCAGCCAAAGCTGCGCGTAGACGAAGGCGAAGAGCAGTGAGTAGAAGACGGTGTAGGCTACAGTCAGACTCAGCTTCACGTAGGGAGGAACAGCCGGCGTGATGGTGGGGGGAGCGGGAGGGGGAGGAGGAGGAGGAGAGGCTGTACCGGCTTCCATCACCTCACTCATTCATTCAATCACTCACTACTTAACCTGTTCATTCATGCGTCCCTACGTTCACCGGCGAACTCCGACAAACAAACAAACAAACAGAGAGAAGGAGAGAGAGAGAGAGGGAGGGAGAGACAGGTTACAAATGAATGCAGCTGCAGCATCTAAGCTCCATCACATCTTCACCGGAGGAAGACGAGGAGGAAAAGGAGGAGACGGGGCCCCGCCCACTCCTGCTGTCACTGCCTCTGTAGCGTCACTGGTGATGCACGGCCACATGACCCGTTCCTCAGCCGAGCATTGGCTGAGCCGGGGGAGGAGCAGGAGAAGAAGGAGGAGGTGGAGGAGAAGGGATGCTGCTGCTAGTGATGCTGCAGAGACGGAGCGAGACTTCGATAATTCAATAATGTTATCATTTTTGTTGTATTCTAGGATCTTATAATAATAATAATAATAATAATAATAAGTATTATTATTATTACAGAGGTGCATACCATTTTTATTATATAATTTTGTTACACAGTTATATATATATAATTATGTTAAATATTTACTAATTAAACCAACGTATGAATGAGTAATGACGGAGTATACTTCAGAAACATTAAATTAATCAAATTATTAATCTAATTATCATATAAAGAAGTAACGTGGCAAACAAATAAATAAAGTAATTGGATAATAAAATAATTAATTTATGAATAATTAAATGATTAAATCAAGTAATTCCATGAGAGAATTAATGAATGAAAAACTAATTTTGTACTTTATATGAACTGTGTATCGATGTGATAAATGATTGGTTGAAACCTGCGGCTCTGTCCGGGGATTGGCTGATATCACGTCACCTGCTGCGTGAGGATCCAAGATGGCCGTCAGCGGCAGGTGCGGCGCTGGATGTACTTCGACTGAGTCGGAATTGTTTTCTCGTTTGTTTGTTGTTTAGTGAAACGTCATTTTGTCCAGTGAGATTCACTCAGGAAGGTAAGTGACTTCAGATTCAGATTGGTCTAAGACTCCACAGGTTTGTTGGTTAGTTGTTTTGGGTCTTTGTTTTGGTAAAAGAGCAAAGTTTTTCGGACTGTGCTGCTGTGTTTAATTCTAAATTTGTTTATACATTATGTCTGTTAATTAGAAGTGAACACAGTTTTTTTTATTTATATTTTGTGTTGTTTTAACTTTTTAGAGCAGCCCAAAGCTGTGTATTCCTAAGGAAACAACCGTTTATGCTGCCAGGCAACAAATTACAATGTAGGATAACTTTCAGTTTTCCAAAGAAAGGAAAAAAAAGCTGAGCCCATAAATTAAGTGAAGTGTGCCACAGGTCAGAGGTCACCTCCCTCTTTACCCTTTTTTCCATCTGTTTTTTACGCTTTAATGCCAAACACATGGAAAAACACTGCTTTACATTTCCTTTCAAGAAAGTCACTGATTCTACTCATGGACCTTGGCGATGATGTACAAAAGACTTTCTTTAAACAAATGAAATTTGATTTTATTATGGAAATGATTTTATCAAAAAACAAATGTAACTCAACATTTACACGTTTCATAAAAAAAAAACATTTTTAACACTGGAAAAACAACATTTAAGACTTAAAAATTAGGCACAAAAATGCCCTTCAGAATGTTTTTGTTTTAATAAAAACTGTTTTAAAAAAATGTGCTTCCAACAGGGAATCATACATCTAAAAAATCTCACATCTGAATTCATTAAATACAAAATAAAAATACATTTTTCAAAACTATTTACATACATACATAATTTCCAATTTACAGTTAAAACAAACTGATGTAAAGTGACAGTTCAGGAATGCGTCCTAGTGTGTGTTTTCAGGAAGTACTGACCTAGGACTCAGGGTTGAGCGCCCCCCTGTGGCTGTTTAAAAACTGCTCTCTTTTCATACAAAAGTCCAAACAGCAAATATCTTTGGTGTCTGTTTTGGGAGTCATGTTTTCACTGAGAACAAGCCTCTCAGGCTCAGTGTAGCTAAAGGGAGTGCTAACAGCATAGTCAATGCTAACGGAGGCTCCACACACACCTATGGTTTTACCCCCAAATGAAATGGTAACGGAGGCTCCACACACACCTATGGTGGAAATGTCCAACGTTGAATCAAATCAACAAGACAACAGTGACTCCGTGTAGTTTGCTCTTTGTAAATAGAGCAATAAACAGTATTAAAATAATGTTTGGAAAATTGTCCAAAACCATTTTTAGAAACAAATGATTCCAGGTGATTTTGGAATTTATGTGTCCAAACATTTGCAGCTACTGTAGCGGCCATATTGAGTTAGCACCAGTGTTTGCCAAAATACACAAAATAAAAATAAAATATACAAAAACCCCAAAACAAAAAGGTTCCAGAACATCAGTTAAACTAGAAATTCTGCCCTACACGGTGTCATCTTCCTGTTGTCTTGTTTATTTGTCCACTGTTTTGGCAGTTGCTCCTCTTGCTCCTCTGGTGAACACTGTGCCCTGGAGAACCCCACCGTCCGCTGACTCTTGTCTAACTCGTCTTTAATTGGTTCTGATTGGTTCCCAGGGCCAGGTCTCCTAATCTTAGCGTTGATGTGGCGGTTTTTGTCCTGGTAGAGACGGTGATGATGTTGGCGACAACATTCATGGTTTGGTGTCAGATTTTTCTCAATGGGGTTCTTGATGTGGTTGAGCTGCTCGCGGGCGGCACTCATGCTGCGATGAAGGGCGTTGTTGTCCTCCATCTCATGCGTCACCACTGCTGACACCTGTAGGCTGACACCTGCAGGTGCACTCTGTTTGTTCCGCCTCCTCAAGCACAACAGCATCATGGAAGTTACCATCAAAGCCCAGAGCACCATCACCACGGAGACCAGCAGGGACAGCAGAGTGTCTACAGGAGACAGAGAGAGGGAGAGAGAGAGAGAGAGAGAGAGCTTAGCCAAAAGGTCTTGCTTGAAATTTCTAGCTGAGTTTCCATAACATGGAAAACTGTTGAAAACTGGATAAACACTGACTCCTCACATCATCATTTGGTGAAACCATGACTAACCTTTGTCCTGGTTGGCGTTCTGACGTCTCTGGACTCGGACCTCAACGATGGCACTGATGATCCTACTGTTACTGCTCCCCCTGCTGACGACATCCATGATTCCATCTGCAATCTCATTCTCAAAGCTTTGATGTCCACTCCGTATTTCTGACGACCTCTGAAACAATAAACCAACGAAAAACTCATCACCACGGCTGCCTGACGGATGTCAAACTACTGCCTTTTCATCTGTCAGGCTGCCTGACGGATGTCAAACTACTGCATTTTCACTGTAGTTGGTCGAAGTTTTTTTTTTCTTTTCCCAAAGCAAATTAAACAGTACTAACGATGAGAACGTCGATCTGGTTGGCAGAGCTGAGTGAAGGCTCACAGGTCAGGGAGAGGTCGGAGTCTGACGACAGATTCTGGACCACATGGAAGTTCCTGAGCTCGGTGCAGATCTGGTCCACAGTCACACCCTGACAATTCCATGACGGCACAAAGACATGAGTAACAACAAAGAGGAGAATAATTTATTGTGAAAACTCATTCACGAAGACAAAGAAAACCCTCACTCACCTTTGCCATGATGTCCTTGTTGAAGGTGAAGGTGACGTTGGCACAACTGGTCTCTGGTTTACAACGGATGGTGGGTGGAGTTTGGTGGGCGTGGCTGAAGCACTCCCCCTGACCAGTGCAGGGTTCAGTAAAACATTGTTCACTTCTGATGGGGACGCAGATCTGACCGTCAGGACACTCCGAGGCCACGGTCTTACTGTGGAGACTGCAGGTTTTTGGACCACACCAAAACTGAAGGACACAAAAGATCCAATGACAACATTATTGGTGATGAACTCAACACTGTATGAACTGTCACCAGTGGGAGAAAATAAGTCACTGGACCAAATGCTCTTCATACCTTTGTGCAAGAAACTCTCCCGTTGTGACACCGGCAGCTATTACAGCCTTTGTCCCACCTACTTCCGTCAGTAAAGATCCGTCCTCGGACAGAACAGCGCCTCCCTGCAGCTGAGAAGAATCAAAGATTCAGTATATTACTAAACTGGCTGCTGATATTGACCATCAGGTCGTCGTCGTTGACCAGTAGAATTCAGGTTTTACCTTCCTGGCAGCGAGGTCCAGATTTCCCTGGAGGACAGAAGCAGCGGTAACCGTTAATCTCGTCCACACAGGTTGAGCCGGTGGCACACGGTGACGACTGGCACTCGTTAATGTCTGAAACAGAAAGGGCATTAAAAAGTTTGCTAGAAATGTATTTTACTATTGTTTAAAAGAAACTGTCATTTGTTATTTTAAACTTTAAATGTGTTAAGGTAACTTACTGATTCTGCAGTCGGCACCAGCAAATCCTGTGGCACATTCACATCGGTACCAGTTTTCTCCATCGACACAGACTCCACCATTATAACTACAACAGAGGTGTTAGCTTGAAGTTAGCCGTACCAAATACCATAGGTTAAAATAACAATTTCACGTTTGAATTATAACGATACATTTGTATAGTGTGTATTTGTACATTTTTAATAGATTTAAGTGCTCGTTAGTTTTCCAACTGTTTATTGAACTCACCAGGGCTGAGCTCTGCAGTTGTTGATATCTGGAAGAATAAATAGGGTTTGTCTTTAGGTGTCACTGTTTCACTTCAGTCTAAATATTTCTTTCCACATCCGTTCATCATTTTATAACTGAGAAAAAAAACATCCTCATTTGGAAAGAAACTAGTAAACTTATGCATAAGTGCATTGTATTGACTCACTGATGCTGCAGGTGGCGCCCTCCCATCCGTCCTTGCAGATGCAGCCGTAGGTATTTCCGTCTAACACACAGGTGCCCCCGTTTTGACAGGGACTGGATTCACAGCTGCCGTTCACAGCTACACACACAGAAGAGTGTTGGCAACGATACAAAAACAGTTCAAACAAAGCACACGCTGCAGTACCAACCGATGTTACAGGTGGCGCCCTTCCATCCACTGGTGCACGCACACTTAAAGTAGTCTCCTTCGTCGTAACACGTTCCTCCATTTTGACACGTTGCTGCATCACAATGACTGTCTCCTGGTAGAAAGAGAGAGAGACAGAGAATGCTTGATTTTCCCATCATGCATTTCAACAACTAAAAGGGTGTTCTTTCTAAAAGGAGCTACCCAGTGTGAACATAAACGTACGTGAGGTGCAGCTCTTCCCCTCCCAGCCGCCGCGACAGTCACAGTAGAAATCATTGACAAGATCACGACAGATGCCAGCGTTCTGACAGGGGGCGCTGCTGCAGTCATCAACGTCTGCGATGCAATCACATAAAAAGGTCAATAGCAACAAACACCTCTGAATTTACTGCACGTGTGAGTGACAAGGACTCACTGTTCTGACAGGTGGCGCCATCCCAGCCATCTGCACAGAGACAATCAAACTGGCCCACTTTATCCATGCAGGTGCCTCCATTCAGACAGGGGGCGCTCTGACAGTCGTTAATATCTAGTAAAGTAAAAAAAAAGGCAAAGACATTACTATTCTTGCTCCTTCGGGGGTTTACGATGTACGAGCTGTGAATTCTCTCACTTTCTTGACAGTACGGTCGGTCCCGTGGAACCCTCCCTCGCCCCCGCAGCGGAACCGCCCCCCTGCACGGCTGCGACACGTCCCGTGTGGGCCGCACACGCTGGATGAAATCATGCGTAAGCCACTGGACGTGTTGTTAGACGCCACAGCCACAGTGCAGCTGTCGATCACTGAGAAGAGACGGAAACGAACAAACGATACTTTAGAGTTTCTACGATTAAAGCTGCAGGTGACCAACCGGATGTTAGCGCGAGTTTCATTTAGCTAACGTCTGAAGTAATCGGAGTACGAACCTTTGCAGGGTGTGGTACGACAGTGGTCCTTCAGCCTCGAACAGTTTTTTCCATCGTAGTCTTCTGGACACTGGCATACGTAGTCATTCACCAGGTTAAAACAGTGGCCCCCGTTCTGACAAGGATCGTCGACGCAAAAATCTTTGTCCGACTGTCGACAAGTGATTTAAGAAAAAGTTGTTAGAACAGCATCACCGTGAAAACTCTACTGCTGCAGCGGTGAAGCTAGCGCTCACCTGACAGTGACTCCCAGAGAAACCGCGGGGACACAGGCAGCTGTAGCCGTTAGCTCGGTCCTGGCAGCGGCCACCGTTGAGACAGGGGGCGCTGACACACTCGTCCACGTTGGTCTCACAGTGTCTCCCACTGAACCCCGATGGACACACACACCTGTAACTGGTTATCAGGTCCTGCAGCAGGAAAACAACACAGTTTTATTTTAAAACTTTTTGCTAATTTTTAGCTTTTTTTTGTTGAGTTAGTGGTGAGGTGGAGTGTTTATTGAGAGGGAATCTTCTAAAACAAACTGATGCTCACCTGACATGTTGCTCCATTCTGACATTGACCGTGACAGTCATTGATATCTGAGGAGAAGTTAAAGTGGGTTAATAGGGTTAATTAGCATCGTGACATTTAAGGTGAAGTCCTGTATTTTGTGTCTTCTGCTGATACTGACAGCAGAGGGCGCTAATATATATATTTTAACTGTCCCTTTTAAAAAGTGCAAAGTTCAGCTTGAAAGTAAAAGTTAAGTTGAGTATTTTCTTTATTTACTGCTGGTGAAAAACCATATTGTTGTTAGTTTTACTCACTCTGGTCACAGTTCTGACCCGTCCATCCTGGAAGGCACTCACAGAAATATCCACCAATTAGATTTCGACATGATTTGGCGTTGACACAGGGGCGGAGTTCACACTCGTTGGCATCTGAACAAAAAAAAAGTCAAAAACAAATACATCAAGTATTGTTGCAGTTATGGTGAAATAAAATTAAAACAGTGTTGACGTTTGAAATAAAGAATTTGAAATGTGGACAGATTTAACACTGACCGATGAGACATGTCTTCCCTGTCCACTCAGGGGGACAGAGACACCTGAAGCCCATGACCAGGTTTTGACAGGTTCCACCATGACTGCAGGGATTTAGCAGACACTCGTTCACATCTGAGGGAATGAATGGACAAAACCCAGTTAGTCTCAAGACAAAAATTAAAACTGATGTTCAGAAAAAAAGAGACCAAAAAAAGATTAAACCAGATTTAAAAAAAATATATTTAAATTCCTACAAGTTACAACAGTTACAACATAAAACCAAACTGTAGTTTAAGATAAAAAAAACCAAAGGATTCTCACTGATGGAGCAGGAGTCTCCGGTCCATCCAGGTCCACAGAGACACTGGAAACCTTCCCTGGTTTCTACACAGGAGCCTCCGTTCAGACAGGGACTAGACTGACACTGGTGGTCCGCTGTGGACAGAGACAGAGACAACAAAGACTTAGACCATTGGTCCAGTGGACAGTGGACAATGTGTAGGACCTCGACTACATCTGTGATTATAGACCTGGTCTATGTTCTTGAGCAGGTCTCTGTTTCTGGTTAAATCCATCAGGTCTGTGAACGTGAACAGGTTCATGACCTGCTCTGGTCTACAATCTTCAAGATTCTGCACACGTTTCAGACTCACTTCAGTCAGGAAACCAGAAGAATGTGGAAACATTTAAGTCTGACCCTCCCTTCACCTCCTTAACTGTCTGACTCCTGACTTTTGACCTGACTTTTTTCCACTGCTCCACATGACAGATGAACCTGTCAGAGTCACTTCCCCTTTTTTTTCCATAGCTTTGAAAAGAACAGACCAGCAGCGTTTAAAGTATTGTATATTTTTATTTTATATTTTGTTGAGTTTTTTTTTTTCATCTTTTATTCACTTCACTCTCTGCCTCCGTCTACAGACCCCTTGACCGGACGAGCCACGTCTTTTTCTCACCTCCCTGGCAGTCCACTCCAGAGATGCCGTCTGGACAGGAGCACTGATACTCGTCTGGTCCCGTGTTGCTGCAGGTTCCTCCGTTTAAACACGGCTGCAGCGTCGCACATGTGTTCAGGTCTAGTCAACAAACAGGTATTAAAACTAAAGCAGTCATGGGTTAAAGTGTGTGTGTGTGTGTGTGTGTTTACCTTTGTCACACAGTAGTCCTCCATAGTTGGAGTCACAGTTACACTGCCATGGCTGTTCACAGCTGCCGTGAACACAGCCAGGATAAAGAATACACTGATCACAGAACTGACCCTGCCATCCATACATACACCTGACACACACACACACACACACACACGTTAATTTCTAACAGGGAGCTACTTCTTTAAGTGGCAGTTTTATGTAAATATTTTAAGGTTGAATAAGTAGATATGTAAACGTAAGCTAAGAAAAAAAAACTGAAACAAATGTTTCCAAGAATAACAGCAATCTAAAACAAAGCTGGCAATATGCTTAGACTAAATAAAAGTAAGAATAATTTGACCTTCCTTGATTCCACACTGGGGAAATTGTAAGATGTGTAAAAAAGGTGAGCTAACTGCTACGCTATGGAACCAGGAAGTTAGCTGAGAACCTAACATCTAACGAAGAAAATAGTTCAGAGAGAGTTCTTCAGAAACACATTTTAAAGGCACAAAAACAGTCAGACTGCCACCAGGAGGTGATTCTCCTCACCTGCACTCCCCGGGAACTTTGCAGGATCCATGTTTGCTGCTGCAGCCTGGTCTGCAAATCACTGCCAAGACACAAAGAGACAAAGAGACACAATCAACACAGAGAGAAGCGGTTTTCACAGTTCAGACATGAGTGGGTTTTTTTTAAGAGGCATAAAATTAAGCACATTTAATACAGGTATTTTCTTCTTATTATTCTTTTGGTTGTTCCCTCCAGGGGTCGCCAAAGCGACATTATAATTAAAGACGAGGGAAGAGAGAAGAAATGAAGCTTCTGGATCAGCAAAAGCTTCAGTTTGCTGTCAACCCGACATGAAAAGTTGTAGCTAGCTGTACTAGCTGTTGTAAAGTAATAATGAAATGTAAAAAAAAGTTAAAAGAAATTCTCCTCCATCAGGGAACTGACCCGTGTTGCAGTCTGGACCGGTCCAACCTTCCAGACACGTCCTGTTGCCGTGATGGTCACACTCATAGTGTCCAAAGTAGTCGTCCCGCGGCCGACAAAACTTATTACATCCAAAGCCATAGTAGTGCTCATTACAGCTGAGACGGACCTGAAAGTGGAACTGAGCCACAGGACCGTGGTGCTGGACGTCCAGCCACTGGAGACCGGGGTTGATCATCCCTGAGTGAACGGCTCTCTCTATCAGCGCACCTGGAGACACCGGGGTTTCAGGTCAGACACAGAACACTTCTGTTTTCATGCTCAGCTGAGGTGGTTTTTACACACAGGTGGTACAGTTAATGCCGTCCAATAATTACAGATATGTGTGTGTGTTTGCGCACGTGTGTGTATGAGGTAGTGTGGTATTTCACTGTCCTGGTGGAAAGTGTGTTCGGACCGACATGCGAGTGTCTGCTTAGCCGCAACTGAAAGCTCAGAAATGAAATGCTGCGAGCAAACTGTGACTCTTCACATCGACGTGGAGAATTAAAACGAAGAAAATGTGGTGAAAATGACACTACGGTTAAAAATAAAGAACAAAGAAAAACGCCTGGATCGGCCTCATCTGGGATGTTTGAGCAAATATTCAAATCTGACACCTGGATGAGGAATACTGCTCCTGAAGTGAACTTGAGGTTTCATCCTTACACGGCCAACTTTTTTTTTTACTGCAGCAGGTTCAGAAATCAACTTGGACTCAGAGTTGTCTCTAAATATCTTAAATTACCCTTTACATTTGAACGATAGTGGCTTCAACTGGTGCATTCATGTATCCTTTAACATGGAGCTAAAGGAAATATGACGTTTGTTAATGTTCATCAAATAGGAAATAACCCGAAATACCAAAGTTAAGAGTTAAAAAAAATCCAATTCCAGCCTAATTTTGTTCTAACTAATAAAAGCTATAAGAAAAAAAGCTTAATAAACATCAATACACT